TTGTTTGCGTGTGTTTGTTCACGTGTTTGTTCACGTGTTTGTTCACGTGTTTGTTCATGTGTTTGTTCACGTGTTTTGTTCATGTGTTTGTTCGTGGTTTGTTCATGTGTTCGCGTGTTTGTTTGCGTGTTTGTTCGCATGTTTGTTCACGTTTTTCTTCGCGTGTTTGTTCATGTGTTTGTTCGTGGTTTGTTCGTGTGTTCGCGTGTTTGTTTGCGTGTTTGTTCACGTGTTTGTTCGCGTGTTTGTTCACGTGTTTGTTTGCGTGTTTGTTTACGTGTTTGTTTGCGTGTTTGTTCGCATGTTTGTTCGCGTTTTTCTTCGCATGTTTGTTCATGTGTTTGTTCGTGGTTTGTTCCTGTGTTCGCGTGTTTGTTTGCGTGTTTGTTCGCATGTTTGTTCGCGTTTTTCTTCGCGTGTTTGTTCATGTGTTTGTTTCGTGGTTTGTTCGCGTGTTTGTTCACGTGTTTGTTGTGTTTGTTTGTTCACGTGTTTGTTCATGTGTTTGTTCGTGGTTTGTTCGCGTGTTTGTTCGCGTGTTTGTTCGCGTGTTTGTTCGCGTGTTTGTGCCGAGCTGTTTTGGTGCAGGACTTTTGGTTCAGTGCTGATTTGTGCACGAGGTCGAGCAGTTTGTGTGTGTTTAAAAAAGATTCCTGTAAAGAACATTCCTGTGCCTGCTGATGCCGTTTGACTCGGCGACACGTCTTAAAAGGTTCATCACGTGACCATCTGCATTTGGCGGCAGTTTTTTTTGGTGGGTTTCCCATAAAACGCCTTGGAATAAAACTATGAAAGTCCAAATATGGCGCAAAAGTTCAGCATCTTCACAGTTATTTTGGTGAGAGTAACTTAAAAGTGCTGCAGTAGTAATGTCACGTCTTACATTTTAAACACAGTAATATTATAACGTAACAAATGACTTTGAAATGACAGAAACACGTCATAAATAAAAAACACGTGACAGTTTTAAAATATGACTCAAAACACGTCTGAAGTTTGGAGAGAGTTTGGTGAGTTTTTACCCATGAGAAATGGAAGTCTGAGCTCCGGGAGCTTCTTGATCAAATGTCCGAGGAAAAACTCGGAGCCGAAGTTTTCAGCTTTGATGAAGGCTCCGTACTTCTGCATCCCCACCTCGAACGGCGTGAACTCCACCCACTCTGAGGAGGAACATCTGACATAAAGACCCACTCTGAGGAGGAACATCTGACATAAAGACCCAGGAGATCAGCTGCTTTCAGAGGTCACATACCCGCCTCAGGTTGGTTCCCATGGATGGCCTCCTTCACGTTGACCGCTGTGTAAATGGGAAGAGGATTCTGACCGTTCTTCACCGTCTTCTTCTGATCAGAGAGAGTACTGGAGTTTTTCTGAAAGAACAACAGAGGAGAGGGTTAGAAGAACACAAGAGACATTTTGGAGGAGGTGTCTGGGGAGACTGAGACCTGTCCAAACACATAGTGCTCTGCGATGAGTCCTGCCATGTCGATGTAGGACACTAGGTGACCCTGTTTCTCCTTCTTCTCCATCTCAGTGTAGTAGTAGTGCAGCTTCTCCGGAGTGAAGGCGCTCATCATGCTCTTGGTCATCTGCTCCCTGATCTTTGGCATGAGGCTCTCCAGGTTTTGGGACCAGTTCTCGTCCTGACACAAAGCCGACATCGACCTGAAGACACACAGAGATGTTTAGACTGAAGAAGAACCAGAGGAGCAGAACCAGAGGAGCAGAACCAGAGGAGCAGAACCAGAGGGGCAGAACCAGAGGAGCAGAACCAGAGGAGTAGACTAGGGCTGTTATAAGTATAAAATTTGTTACTTATCCAAAACTAGTATCATTAATATCAAAACTAGATCCTCATTTGTCACAGATATTGATCCTAAAAAAAAAGTCCCATTTTCAGGACAGAGCAGAACCTTTCCAGAATGTGTTTAGAACCATCTGGAGCTGGAACA